AAAATTAATCCATTGTAAGAAAGTAACAATTAATGTAAAGTAAAGAAATTAAAAATAAAATTAATTAAAAAAATATATAATAAAAATTCTTTTATAAAAAAAGTAATTCTAATTAATGTTATGTAATATCTATAATTAATATTACTAATTATAATTAATTATTTACATATTTATAATTATCAATTTATTATAAATAAAAATAAAGTTAATTATTTATATAAATAAAAACAATTTTTTTTTCAACGTTAAAAATTATTAAAAATTAAAAGACTCTGATTAATTTTGCAAATGAATTTCTCGCATTGATATAATTGTTGGCACTTGAAAAAAAAAATTTGCACGTTTGAGTATATATATATATGTATGCGCGAAGAGTGAGTGAGAGTTCTGCTTGATTAGTCATTGACATCCGCGGGATGTTTAATCTTGTCCCATCTTCGCATCGATCATGTCAAAAGACAAGCGCAACATCGGCGACTTGAGTAACACCAGTGTGCTCATGCATAATTCAATCAGAGTTAGACGAAACGTCAATAGAGCTCGCAGATTATTTCTTTTCCCGGGCTGCTATTCTCTCTCTTTCTCTCCTCCCACTTTTCCCTTTTTCCCTCCTTCTCTTTTTCTCTCTCGCGCATACCCTCCCTCAATTTCGCGCTCTGTCTCTCTCCTTTTCCATCATATACCAGCATCTCTTTTTCACCCTCTGAAACTCCCTCTCAGTAGCGTAACTATAGACACACACACACACACACAAACACAGAAAGAGAATTTTTTCTAAAAAGAGAATATTAAATCAAGACGTGCTGAAAAATATATTTCAAATGTTAAAATGACTCCATGAAAATGGGAATTTCAAAATGAGTTGACAAAAAAGTGTTTAGAGCTCTTTCTTCATTTTTTATTTTAATTATATCACAATAAAAAAGAGAAAAGAGTAACAAAACGGTAATATTCATATTATTATCAATAGAATGATTCACTTCAATTGTTCAATGCTTTATTTTGCAAAAATAAGCCACGCCTACTGATCAATAAATGTTTGTAATGGATATGAAAATTTTATATTATTTCCATGGTAAAGAGAAGCAAGTTTTCATTAATTGGAATTGGAATTTCAAATTATTCTCTTATTACAATTACATGCGCCATAATTGATCACATACACACACATATATATATATATATATAGACGAGAAACGAACATTCGTTTTTGAGCTTAATTAAATGGAAATTAAAAATAAATATTTGAATGATTTTTAAAATAAATTTTATGCTCCTCATTCCAAAAAGTGATGAATTTGTTATTTGATAATTTATGAAAATTTTTGTAAAATAAAATTGCTTTTCACATCATCGTATATACCTTTGGGCGATTTTTTTTTTTTTTTTTTTTTTTGAGTGTTTAAATTTTTAAGAAAAAAGTTCGTACAATTCTGAAAAAAAATTCTTTACTTCTAAAGTTAACTCCAAATATTGTCTCTTTCGTTACGGAAAATAAAGTAAATTTATAAATACTTTTGGCTTAGTTTTTTATGATCTAGACACAAATGTAAATAATCATTATCATCTTCTTTATGAACATCATTAGCATCTTCTTTATTATCATTATCATCATCTTTGTCATCAGCATCATTAACATCATCTTCTTTATTATCCACATCATTATCAGCATCTTCTTTACTATCATTATCATTATCTTTGTCATAAGCATCATTATCATCTTCTTTATTATCAACTTCATTATCGTCTTCTTTATTATCAACATCATTACCATCATTATCATCAGCATCATCATCAGCATTATCTTCTTCATTATCAACTTCTTTATCATTAGCATCTTCTTTATTATCATTATCTTTGTCATTAGCATCATTATCATCTTCTTTATTATCAACATCATTATAATCTTCTTTATTATCATCATTATTATGAAGATCTTTATCATTAGCATCTTTTTTATTATCAACTTTATTATTATCTTCTTTATTATCCACATCATTATCAGCATCTTCTTTATTATCATTATCATTATCTTTGTCATTAGCATCATTATGATCTTCTTTATTGTCAACATCTTTATCATTATCATCTTCTTTATTATCATTATCATCATCTTTGTCATCAGCATCATTATCATTTTCTTAATTATCAACATCATTATTATCTTCTTTATTATCAACATCATTATCTTTATTGTCAGCATCATTATCGTCATCTTTATCAGCAGCATCATTACCATCTTCTTTATTATCAATATCGTTATCCTCAACATCATTAGCATCATCATTGTCATCATAAACATCGTTACCATCTTCGTCATCATCATCATAATTATCATAATTTCTAAAATCTGAAAATTTCGAAACAAAAATTTAGGAGCACGCCCATTGTAATTCTCTAATCCCATCGTTTCCCTCGTGAACAGAGCGAGGAAACGATGAGGAGGCACTGAGAAAAGAGAAAAAACTGTGAAGAAGCGGAGAAAGCAAAGGAATCAGGAAACAGAAGATAAAATGAGAAGAATATTGTTGAAAAGATATATAAGTAAAGAAAGCATATTGAGGAAGGAGATGAAAATACAAAACAGTAATGAAAGAAAAAGAAGATAGTGGCGTTTATACATATAGATATATGTACATATAAAAGTGAGTGAAAAGAGAGGAAAAAAGAGGAGGGAAGGGAGGAAAAAGAGAGGGTTTACAAAGGGTGCGGGGCTTGAGAGGAGTTTTTCACCCCCTTTTACCTAACCCCCTGCGGCCTATTCGTCGTTTCATCCCCACTCGGTCTTCTTTTATATTTTAATCAACTAATTCTGCGCAATGCGTACATTTATTGCGCCCTTTCGGCTGCCCGCACACAGCCCCGCAACCATTCCGCGTTTTAATTGCGAGATGAGGCTCGCTGCTGATTCGATGGGATTTTTTCCTAACCGGCCAATGAGAGCTCGATCATCGCACGAATCGAGCGCGTTTTAGCCCAGTTAATTTTTCAACGGTATATTCACCGCTTCGCGCGTTCCAACGCCTTCAGGGATGCCCAACGTTTCGAGGGCGGAGAGGGACTGTTCACTTTTTTTATATATATGTATATAAATGAGAGAGAGTGCGTTTTCCTTCTATACACACACTCTTTCATACAGGGCGTTAATCGCAGGCATTTATTTCCATGGAGAAAAAAAAATTGTCACAACGGTAATTATTTCATTTTTAACAGGGAAAATAGGTATTAGATTTCTGTCATCAAAAATTGGGAAGAAACTTTTTTTTTACTCCACAATCCATACGAAATATTGGGGGGAGAATTTGGGAAGGCTGAGAATCTTACGTATTTTTTCGTCTTCAATATGATAATTATGTTCCCTTCCGAATTTGTTTATTTGGAAATTAGCGAAAAATTCGATTCTTGGAGCGAGGGATAAAAAACAATGGTTTTACGCCATCATTTTTTTGGCGAATAATAAAAAAGAAAAATTAGCGACGTTTAGATGACAAAATGAGACCGGATGCGACATTGCAGCAAGATTCCATGTAAACTTGTTGAAATATTTCCTGGCAAACTTTCCTTGTAAACTTGCTGTAATATTGCCCGGCAAGGTTTCCGCATGTAAACTTGATGCAAGACGTAAGACTGACATAAACTTACGTCAAGTTTGCAACATCATTATCATCTTCTTTATTATCAACATCTTTATTCTTAGAATCTTCTGTATTATCAACGTCATTATCATCATCATTATCATCTTCTTTATTATCATTATCAGCATCTTTGTCATTAGCATCATTATGATCTTCTTTATTGTCAACATCTTTATCATTAGCATCTTCTTTATTATCAACATTATTATCTTTATCATCAGCATCATTATCATCATCTTTATCATTAGCATCTTCTTTATCATTATCATCTTCTTTATTATCATCATCGTTATCATCATCTTTGTCATCAGAATCATTATCACCTTCTTTATTATCAACATTTTTATCATAAGCATTTCTATTATCATTATCATAATCTTCGTCATTAGCATAATTATTATCTTTATTATTATTACCTTTATCATTATCATCATTAGAACTTTTATTATTAACATCATCATCATCATATTTGTCATCAGCATAATTATCATCTTCTTTATTATCAACAGCTTTATCATTAGCATCTACTTTATTATCATTATCAGCATCTTTGTCATTAGCATTATTATCATCTTTTTTATTATCATTATCAGCATTTTTGTTATTAGCATTATTATTATCTTCTTTATTATCAATATCATTATCATTAGCATCATTAGCCCCATTAACGTCTTCTTGATTATTAACTCCATTATCATCATCTTTATCATCAGCATCATTATCATCTTTTTTATTGTCGACATATTTATCATTAGCATCATTATCATCTTCTTTATTATCAACATCATTATGTTGTTGCTAACACAGTAACTTAACTGCAAGCTTGCTATAATATAACGTGCTTCCTGGTAATGGTTGTGTCTTTATCATTATCATAAAATAAAAAAAATCAAGAAGAATGACTCTATTTATCATCCTCATCAGACTAGGACGAATGACAATTAAAACCACTTTGATTATTTTTTTGCTGTTTTTATCCTGGCAGGTCATATCATAAAGAGCATTTCGTAAAGATTTTTCTATATTATTCCCCTAAAGATTATTTTCGAAAATTGTATTTTTTCGAAAGAAAGGAGAAAGAAGGACAGAGAGAGAGAGAAAGAGGGAGTGAAAGGGGGAGTGATGAGGGGAGGACAGAGAAGAAAGAGAGGAAAAAAAGGAGATTTAGAAATGGCTAATAGTTTCCTTTGACGACCCATTAGAGTAGGCCTTTAATCTATCTTGTCGAGTCAGGTGCTTCCATTTCCCGTTTGGTTTCAAGACACCTATACACTGTCAAAGAATCGAGTGACACCAGCTGAGAGAAAGAGCGAGTGGAGAGTGTGAAAGAGAGACTGGAGGGAGCATAGTGGCAACAGTAGATACATGATCCACATGTATGTACTTGTTGTCATGCTGTCTCGCGTCGAACAAGAGAAACGACAAGGACAATGGGAATTATCGCGACTCGCAGATAGAACTGGCAGAGGCTGAGGCCCGTTTTTTAATGCGAGCGCCTCTCCTCAGTCTTTTACATAGTCAAGGGTTTGTTCTACCCTTCTTCTCTTTTTTTTGCTCGACCCCGCGCGCACCCCTTCCGACAAGCCACCTCTTTGTCTTTCTTCCTCTTTCACAATTTCGCGGTTCTTTCCTCCCGACCTCACCCCATCGCTACTCTTTTTTTATCATCCCCCTTTGCTCATTCAAACCCACCCCGGACTCTCTAACTCACTCATCCCTCTCGTCACCAAAGAGAGAGAGAGAAAGAGAGAGAGAGAGGGTTCGGGATCACTCCCACCCAGAGAGCTACTACTTTTTTTAACTAGTGGTAGTAGAAAGCCCGTTGGTAGTGGAATTCTGTTTGTATTGGTAATCTGCTGGTGGTGGTAGTGGAAAGTTCTGATGGTAGTGGAAGTAAAAAGTGTCTGATGGTAGTGGAAGTAAAAAGTCCTAGTGGTAGTGGTAGCCTAGCCTCATCATCCACAGAGGGAAATGAAAGCGAAACTGTTCGGCAGTGACTACCCCACGAACCTCGTTGCCAGCAGCCACCACAGGCACCCTCTTCCACCCCGACGCCCCCAACATCCTCACACTCATACACTCTAAAGCAAGCCACCCTCTGGTGCCACCCTTCTAATTTTTCCACCCCTTTCACTAAAATTAAAATCAATAGTGGCACCACGTGCCGGCTGCCGGGAATCCGCCAGAAAAGCCACCCTCATCAGCCGAACCGAAGCCACCCCTCTCGGAACTGTTTTAAAATAGTCGGTCTACACCTCGACGCCATTATCGCGGTTGGAATTGAAATATTCGCTGGTCCGAAAAGGGACAGTGACCCGTCAGTCGTCACCCCTTGAACTATATGTATCTCTAGGTAACTCGAGGGAGGTGGTGGTGGGTACTAACAACAGGGGGTGGTGGTTTGCGCCGTGCCGTGGCAACACACTCGAGCAGCGCTCTTTTTTTCTTTTCCCCCTTCTTTTTTCTTCTTTTTTTTATACATGTAGCAACGCTCATTATCGAGTCTTCATACTGTACTGTCTTTCAAGAAGAATGTTTGGATGAGAAAAACAGCCACCCTCTTCCGAGTAGATTCACTTCAAAGAAGTGATTTTTAGCGCGGGGCGGTTTTCTGAAGGGATGAGAGAGAAAGAGGGGGGGTGTACACTCTTGTCCCTTTGTTGCTAGCTGGAAAACAGAACTTTTAATGACATCCCATATAGCTTTCTACAACAAAAAACAAACAAAAGTGTTTACATCAGCTTCCGTTTTCAATAACAGCACAAATAGCACAAAGTAGAAGAAGAATTTTGCGTCAATATTGCGTGGTAATATTGGCAATATTGCAACAATTTTTTTAAAGTCCGAATTATTTAAGACGATGCGAAAATGATGTGTAACATTCCTGCTATAAGCTTATGGCAAGTTTGCTGCAATTTTTGAAAAGTATAAGTTTTTCAAATTAAAAAAAATTGTACTTTATTTTGTTGTTGATGTTAATTAGGGTCTTTGGTTAGCATCCACTGATATCAAGTTCAATTCCCAGTTCCATTAAATTTATTTCCAAAAGTTTCTCATTAATGATAAGTTCCAAAAAATATCAAGAAAAGAATAATTAAGAAAAAGTGAATATTAGAAAAATCTTAAGTAAAAACTAAGAAACCACATAGAATTTTATTGTTGCTGATTATGATGTTGATAATATAGAAGGTGATAATGATGCTGGTGACAAAGATAATGATAATGATACTAAGGAAGATGCTAATGATAAAGATGTTGACAATAAAGAATATGATAATGATGCTGGTGACAAAGATGATAATAATGATAATAAAGATGATGCTAAAGATGAAGATGTTGATAATAATGATGATAATTATGCTAATGAGAAAGATGTTAATAATGATAATGATAATAAAGAAGATGCTAATGATAAAAATGTTGACAATAAAGAAGATCATAATGATGCTGACGACAAAGGTGATGATAATGATAATAAAGAAGATGCTAATGACAAAGATGTTAATGATGTTAATGAAAATAAAGAAGATGCTAATGATAAAAATGTTGACAATAAAGAAGATCATAATGAAGCTGATGACAAAGATGATGATAATGATAATAAAGAAGATGCTAATGATAAAGATGTTGATAATAAAGACGATTATGATGCTAATGACAAAGATGTTGATGATGTTAATGAAAATAAAGAAGATGCTAATGATAAAAATGTTGACAATGAAGAAGATCATAATGATGCTGACGACAAAGATGATAATAATGATAATAAAGAAGATGCTAATAATAAAAATGTTTATAATAAAGAAGATGATAATGATCCTGATGACGAAGATGATGATAACGATGTTGATAATAAAGAAGATGATAATGATGCTAATGATAAGGATTATGATAATAATGTTGATAAAAATAATGATGATGTTGATAATGATCATGGTGATGAAGATGAAAATGATGACGATCATACAAGCAAACCTAAAAATCTTTTGAGAATGACTGAATTTAAAGAGTTTTTGATGATAGTTTTTTTGTTATATATATATATATATATATATATATATATATATATATATATGAAAGGAATAAAAGGAGTAAAAGCTACAAAACGAGTCAAAGGCTAAAAATAGTAAAAAGAGCAAAAGGGGTAAAAAAAGTAAAAGGAGTCAAAGGAGTAAAAAAAAGTAAAATTACAAAAGTATTTCTGATACCTAAATAGGTAATTACTAATTTCATAATCAGCATCCTTATATATTTACCGCATCAGCATTTTCATCTCTGACACACAGCTAAAATGTATCATTAAAATAACATCTTATTTATCATTAGCATCAAAAAATAATTAACACAATCAATATATAAAATTTCGATTTACATTATAATTCTCCAAATCAGAATTTTTCCAAAAATACACTTTTAATAAATTGACAAAACGAAATAAATTGAGAAAAAAAATTATTAAATAATTTAAAGAAAAACTTAAATAGATCAGTTTTTATTTCATTTGCACACAAAATATTAACTGCAATTATAAAAAAGAAAGAAGAAAAAAGAACTTATTAGCGACGTATATATATGTATATATTTAAAAGTAATCCGCTGAATACTCAGTGACTTCTGATGTAGAGTAAAGCATATATTTTTATCGCGATTATTGGCTTATTACGTATTAAGAAATTTTAAATATTTATCTGAAAGATTGAAATTGCTTCATATTGTGCAAAAGAATGAATTATGAATCACTCTTATCTTGTTATGTGAAGTTTTATTGATTTAATTAATTTTTAAATGTAAAGTAACCCAATTTTCCAAGTATAATTTTACAATTTGACACATGTAATATTTAAAGAGATTTACATAAAATATCAGAATATCACACTTGGCAGCTGCAATTCTAAAAGTTACTGCAATCGATTTAATAATTAAAGAATTATGTTTGGAATTATTTTTAATAAGTTCTTTTTTTACTGTTCTATTTTTAAAAATAGCATGCATTTGAATTTACGTAAAAGCGTTATTCATGGCTAATTATGTGTTTATAAACAGCAGTTTTTCATAGAAGCATTTTATACATTTTTTAATATATTTGTCTGTAATAACATCAAGGATAAATGAATGTCAAGTGAACAATAATATTTTTACTATTTTAATGTAATATTAATTATTGAGGCGTTATTATTATATTAATAATAATTAATTTTTTATTATTATTATTATATTAGAAAAAATTATTAATTAATTCTCAAATATGTAATTAATTAGAAGCATCACATTGACAGTGTGATAATTTTGTCAACTGCACAAAGCGAATTAAGTTTGACACACAATTAATGGATAAATATTCAATTAGAAAAATTAAATCGTAAAATTCAATTTTTTCAAGACTTTCAATTATAATTCTTCAAAAATTAAATTATTTTTGAAAACTTAAATAAAATTCATCTAGAGATTCAATTATTTTCCGTATAACTTATCAAAATTCCATTCTTTAAAATTTTTTCAATTAATTATTTTCAAAAATTTAATTAACGCAGAAAAAAATAGTATTAAAATTTTTTACCAACATGAATTTTTTTTGGGGATTTTAAAGAAAATTGTTTTAAGTTTCAATTATTAAAAATATGAAAATGAAAGGAAAAATAAAAATTTTTCAAAGTAAAAGAGAAAATGAAAGGAAATAAAAATATTTCAAAGTGAAAGTGAATATGAAAGGGAAAATAAAAATCTTTCAAAGAGAAAATTAAAGTCAAAGTAGAAATGAAATTACAAAATCGATTGTAAAAAACAATATTTTTCTGAAACAATAAATACGATTATATTAATTATTAAAAATTTTAAATTTACAACGAGTAAATTGTCACTCTCCCCCCCCCCCCCTCCTCTACTTATATCATCAGCGACTCTTCAATGCATCAAATTTAAATAGAAAATAATAATTTTTGTATTCTTCGGATATTTTTATTGTGGACAATAATAATTTATATTTTGCACGTAAAATACTATTTTCTTTCAATTGCTTGGAATGTCGCATATTTATTCTCATGTTTTTTATCAGTCGACCCCTATGCATACAAAATGACAAAATGAAACGACCAATCAGGTATAGGGTTGTCCTCTCTTTTCCGCGTGTGTGTTATATATTTGACTCGACTGCGTGGAAATGCAATTCATAATATTTAAATTAGTCGTATGCGAAATTTCGAGGAATCATTTTGGAATACAGATGCGGTGAACATCGTGCAACATTACACATTGCCGAGTTGTTCGTTAATCAGGTATGATCACCCCCCTTCCGAGCCCGTTGACGTATTAATGCAAACATGTCGACGATCACGTTTTACCTCCCAATGTTTTCAACGCTCTAGAGTCAAATTGAAATGCGTCCTTTCTACTATAGACTATGGACAATCAGATTTGTAGAACAAACAAGAATTCATCGATTGCAAAATATATATCTATATATGTATATAAAAAAAGAAAAAAAATAACGAGAAAAATAGTTTATAAATAAAACGCGTATTTAACGAACATTCAAAAGTGGTGTGTTAGCGCGTGAGATTTCAATTTATTGGAAACCAATATTGGTTCTCTGAAAACAAAAAAAAAAAAGTAAAAAACTATATTCATAAATTTTGGTATTTATTGCGGAATCTCTCTCACAGAAGAATAAATAGAAAAATGTTTGCACTTTTATTGGGGACGGGAAAAAAAATATTCTATATATTGAGAGCATTTTGATTAGTTATATAAAATTTCCGATTTTGTAGTCGAAAAACAAATATTATACACCAGTTATAGACAAAAATTTAAAATTCTATTTCTATTTACTTAAAAAATTTTAAGTATCAATTTTTCAATAAAATGGACAGTTTATTTAATAATCAATAAAGCTTTTCGCATTTTATATAAAAAAAAATCTAAAAGAGTTCAGTTTCAAATTATTTTTTTTTATATTCGTATTTTTAAAAACGTATTATCCATTTCTCATATAGAATTAAAATTCGCGCATATGATTTATTTTCAAATACAAAAATAACTTTTTTTGTTCTCATTTATATTTCGAAATTACATAAAAATTATTAAATTTGATAATTTTTTCATAAAGTCTAGTATAGAAATATATATTTTATCGTCGCATAATTTTTTCTAATTAATAATTTTTAATTATTTTTTAAAAATAATTGTTCAACTACTGAAATTTTCCACTTTAAATTACGATTTTATTTTTGTTTGAATTTAAAATACAATTAAAAACAAACACAAATAAAAGAAGAGAATTAAAGTACAAAATTGTACATTGTGTATATAATACTATTAAAGCGAATTGCAAATTGAATTTAAAATATAAAATAATTCCTGAAACATAATGTAAAAATGAAATTTATATAAATTATGCTTGTTATAAACAAAATGAAACAAATGAAAGGGTTGACGGGTTGTAAAATTTATTGGTCAATATTAATAAAAAATCGTATTAACTTTATGAGTCGTGAAAATTTAATTTCTCAATATAAAATTTAAAAATCATTTTTATATTTATTACAAATAGCAATACTAATAAAATAAAAAAAATACAATGAATAAAAATTATTTTTTATTCGAAATTGTTCGAAGGGAATAAAAATGATAAAAGATATTTTTTTTCTACTTTTCTTAATATTGGAATTTTAAAAAAAAATTAGTTAGAAAATTGAAAATTTAAATGTTTTTCTGTATTTTTAATTTTTCTGAATTTATTTTAAACTAGCAGAGCTACGCGCGCCCGATATTTCTGCTTTTGTCTTATGATACTCAAGACCTTATTTCTTTGTGTATATAAAAATGTGATTAAGACTTTAAGATATGTTTTTTTCTTCTTCTGAAATATTAGAATTAGTGAACAATTGTCCATTTGGTTTATGGAACAACGATAAAATTTATACCCCTCACTCATACCAAAGAAATAGGCGTTACTGTCTTACCTATTCGTCTCTCCTTCCTACACTAAACTTAAAGGAGAGACAATACCTCTCTCTCTTTCTCTTTATCATGCTTTCTCTCTCACACTGTGACAGAATGAACATGAAGATTAAAAGACTTACTATAAGTATTATTTTTATGTACATTAATTATCATTAGATTAACAATTAATTATCCACCCTACATTTTCTGAAAATTTTTCTAAGTATAAAATTTTAAACAATAAAATCTCAAACATTAAAAGAAATAAATAAAAAATTAAAAGAAGTAATTGCATTCGAAAAAGGGATAAATTTGGAATTTTCCCTAAAATCTGGCGGAGCAGGAATTACGATCGAAGAGAATTAACCTTTCGTCACGGCCAATCGAGTAGCTTGTCTCGTCTACCGGAAGCGGAAGTTTTCTATGGATTCTCGGCTTGTTCCGCTAACAGAGGAGTAACAGGTAAGGTTCAATTCACGAGTAAAGCGCGCATACAGGTGGCCTGCAAATGTTCCTGGTGTGGGTGGTTGAGCATATGTTTACAAACACAATGGAGGGAGAGAGAGAGAGAGAATATAGCCGTGAGGTGCATGTGTCTATATAGAGTAAGAACGAGCAGCAAAGAGGACAAAGAGGGACGCAGCTTTCAAGAGTAGTGTAGGTATCGGGAAATCCACAAGCGCATCCGATAGGGCCGTCCACCCATTCCCACTTTTCCCCCAACCGTGAAATCCACCCTTGGAATTTCAGAATGAACTCCGGGGCCACAAGGGTGATGAGTAAAATCTTAAATCCACGCCTCACTGTCACTTCCTGCATCAAGCGCAATTACATAATCTTTACTGTTTAACGCGAGACATCTTATTAATTAGAATAATTGTATGTGTTCATAAAAGGTCGAAATTATTTCCATCTTCTCGTTACTTTTAATTTGTTACAATTTTATAAATTTATAAAATTCTAGGTTCATCAATTTCTGCTACTCACTACCTTATAATTCATAACTTATTATATTTTACACATTCTCAACATTTAATTTTATTACATTATAAATATTTTGTCTTCAGGAAATCTTAAGGAATTTGTTGCTTCTGCAACTCTCTACCTGATAATCCCATAAATTAAAATAAAAAATTGTCTTTAAAGTCAAGCCCTGGCGAAGGTGTTGGGGAATTTACCAAGAAATTGATTCTCTACCTCATAATCCAGAACCCTAAGGGGTAACAAAAGCAATTCGTAAGTTTATCAAATATTCTTATGAGCTGTGTTCATATAGTAATAGACTATGTCGAGGTGGCAGTTTGAAAGATTCAATAAATAATGAACCTAACTCACCAAAACTATTATTTAGTATAGGAAATAATTAATTCCAAATGAATTAATTTGGTTATTTCTTCAAAGAAATAAATAGATTTCTCTATAGCTGAATTCAATAAGTTTAATCAAGATTTAGAAATCTCAAAAATTGATTTTTGGCAATTGTGCAAGGTTTATTAGTTAAAGGATACCCTTTTATACAATTTCTGAAACCTTTGTGGAATTTCTAATAATAATTCTAATAATGAGGAAATCATTTTGAAGCAAATTCTTATCAAAACCCAATTGTCAAAATGTGTCCTTTTTTTCCTACAATTTAAATATTAATTATACAATCTGCAATTTTAATTTTCGAAAGTACAATATTCAAATATTTGAAAAGTAATGTTCTCGCCAGGTGTAAATTTTGTTTTAATTTCTTTTCAAAGTTAATTCCCCTGCAATAATTTGACTGTGAAAGTTTTGTATATAGGCTGAAAAATCTTATCTTAAAGAAATTAAGATTCACCTGTCTTCTGTACGGAGAGAAAATTATGTAAATTGCATATAGTTTTTACGTAGGTAGCATATAGGTATTAAACCGCTAAAACCACTTTGAATATCGAAATGCGCATAAAGTTAATAAAAGTAAATAACAAAAAGCATTTACAACATACAAATTACTGAATTGTTTCCACGAAAACAAAAGAAAAATAAATTCAAATTAACTATAGAAGCAATTTTGAATTAATTATTATAATAAACAAAAAGCTATGAGGGGAAAAAAATGAGAATGTAAAAAAACACGGTTATCCAATAAACTTTTTCATTGCGTGTTATTAAGGGTGAAATTAGAGAAGCGCGAAGGTAAATTAAAAAACATTTTTCCAAGCAGGATCGAGGGTAAAATTCATGGATCGTTAAGCCAGGATTTTTTCTGCATCTTTGAAGAATCTATAAATAGAGACAACCAGGGCGCTGAAATACAAAGTATCGCGGAGCAATAAAGAAGTACCCTTTCGTGACACACCCCTTCCTTTATCTTCCTTGCAAACATTCGTTCGATTCCCGTTAGGGTTGCGAAGTGCAGTCGATTGCATGCGTGCGAAAACAATGTCGGTGATCAAAGCCAGTTATTTTTCTCCTTCGCTTGAAACTAAAAAAAGCTTAAGAAGCCCTAACGTCATTTTATTATATTTTATCCTTTCCCTATACTTTGTTTTCAAATAAAAAACAAAGAAATTTTCAACTCTCCCAGAATAAACCCTTGTTGCATAGTGATGTTGTAAAATTAACTTTTTCAAGTCACAAATTTCTACTTATTTTCATAATTTATCTTGTGGTTCACTTGGACCTAAGGTGAATGTAAAATAATTATTTATGAATCACTTTATACAGCAAACAAACCTATTTTATTTTATAACAATAAAGTATATCAAAAGATTTAGTCATCGTATGATTTTGTATTATTTAAACTTTTATTTGTTTATTATTATATTTTGTACAATTATCCTACGAACGAGTGATAAAAATTGTCTAATCTAGTAGTGGATAGGTAGAAAGAACAGAAAGCTGAATTACCGAATAATTATTGAGATTCCTTTAATTTTGTTACAAAGCGATTTTTAATAAAAACGAAATATTAAATTAATAAATCATATTACATAATTTCATTCATAATTCTTAGTACTGTGTTTTGAAAATAAGATCTTATCAGTTGATATAGTTTGACGCGTGGCTCATTGTAAGAGGATCTTTAAATTTGGAAACAATGTCCCTTTAAATTGAACAGAAGCATTCTTTCTATTCATATCAATCATATGATACGATAATTGTCAAATACAGTATGTTTCAATACGTATTAATTTTTATCCATTTTTTATTTGCAAGAATTTTTGAGTTTACATATATTTTTAACAATTATAGAATCTATTTTTTTCCATGAAATATGTTTCTTGTTCGTAACAGTAATTAAAACTAATTTTTTTTTCTAAAATACAAGGCGACGACGGACCATTTTCAAGGAATTTAATTTCCGTTCTCAAGTTTCCAAGATCAAATTCATCCGGTAGCTCTTATTGCCTGTACGCAGATATTGAAAGTACAAAAGAAGTTGAAATTGAATTTTATCGGACAAGACCAGCTTTCTATTATTTTCTTGTGAATTTCGTCAAGAGCTGCGGTGTAGAATAAGAATATATAGCAATATAGTTAAGGTTTCAATTCCCCGAGTCAAGAATCTTTGTTTTCCTGATTGAATGTATAAGGGGGGACCCCGTCTTGTTGGGAATTCAAGGTACATGCATTCCGGAATAGTTTCGAATTCGCGAGGAAATTAAAACGATTTATATCTGTAAATATAACTAAATAAAGTTCTAAATAAATATTGCTTCGAGGGAAAATTTAATATTCGTGTACCTTTGATTTAAAGTTCTTTCATTTTTATTCATTCATTGATTTATTCATTGAGTTACTCATTTATTTATATTTAATTATTGTTTTATTCAATTATTTTTTTCTTATTCCACTTTCCTTACTTCCGGAATTATGAAACACCTGATACATGACCTCGATGTCAAGTGCCAATTTTAATCGAGTACAATTCAATTACGTGTTCGCTATATTAATCTTCTATTAGTAACTGATAAATGAGCTTTCCTTGCTCACATAGATATTTTCCAATTAAATATTCAATGCCTTTTCAATATTTAGAGGGTCACGGTTTACATTTTTAACGAAAGTATTGAACCATGCAAAAATAATTTATAAAAATAGACATTTTTTTTATTTTACGACCAATTTATTATTCAGTAGCCATTTATACGGAGAGATAACAAATTTTTTCAATTAATTAGCCTACAAAAAGAATCCCACATGAAGAATTATATAGAAATATCAAAAGCGAAATGTAGAATGAGAATTTATTATTATAGTAAATGCTAAAAAAAGGAAATATAAAACGTGAATGCTTTCTATTTTAAAAGAATCTCTATCAATTATTGACTCTTGCTCTAGTAATGTACACTTTAAAAAAATTTATATTTATGTTGAGAACTTATCGAGGTATGTTTAGCTCCTTCAGCAGCAGCACTCGTACGTAATTGTCATCTTTTGGAGTTCTAGAAAGCCACTCGCGGTTTTAGTAATTTCGAGCACTTCCAAACTGGGAAAATTGGCAGTGTAATTACTTTCAATCGCGGTTTTAAGTATTAGGACACTTTTGATATTTAAATATTACTTCAATTTGCAGAATAATTTGTGACTCGAAATTAATTACAATTACACATGAAAAGAGTATAGGTATGAGTTAAATTTAGATCCGGGTCCACTTCCTCTGGCCCCTATTGCATAATTCGACGTATTTATCGGGATCCATAAGAGGTTTTTGGCAGCAATTTTTTATTGTTTTTTTAAAATTATTTTTAATCTTTTGTTACTTTTATCCTCTTTTTTATTTTCCATTTCCACTAAAAAAAAATTCGATTGACAGTAAAAAATACTCGACGTCGGCTATAATATGGCTTTTATCAATACGTATATTAAAGCGGCATTAATGTGAAGTGTGCAAGTATTGTTGGACATGTTGGATATTAATTAATGTTGTATCTAACAAATTTTTGGCCCGGTCACCAGCCTCTCTCATTCTCTCCCTCTCTTCTCCCTTTTGCTCTGACTCTTTTTCCACAGTTATAGTAGGAGTTTTGTTGGTATCCTGAAGCGTGCCCCTTGCCGCCGCCCTGGATCCTCGCCTCCCTGGTAACGCCATTCCACAATGCTATGGTATTGATTTAAAAGTATGTACATTTGTGTTTTCATAATGCTGTATCTGCTCGTAGGCAGCAACGCCCTACTGCCATCCCCTGCTTTCCAACTTCAACCCCCGGCCAGTCAACTCCTGCTTACTCTTCCTGCTACAAACTACCCCCGCCGCTTCTCTTATGGCGGCACCTACACTCCAAACCACCACCACCCCCTATACAACTTGGAAACAGGCACAATTAAATCTTCACTAATCGCTCACTTTCATACTTCGATCTCATCATCATTATGCTATTTGTACCGTGTAATTGTAATTTGAAAATTTTGTTTTCTCTCGATGGGATAAACTCTTTTCTAAACCATTAAAAAAAATTAAAAAATTGTTAGGATAGCAAAAGGAATTTCGGTTTGATAAACAAAAATAGAAAGCATGGTTAGTCCTTTAAAAAGTAGAAGACTAACTTAATCGAAGCGAACTGTTCTTTGCTATTCTAAGCAAATAACAGATTGTTCGCTGTTCAGGTATCTTCCTTCCAAAGAAAGTAGACAAATTTTAGCGCGCCTTTACTTGATAAGAAAAGAATTTATATTTACTTTTTGGCAACCAAGTTAAGATTTAATTAAGAAATATTAAAAGAACGTTAAGAAAGGGTTCGACCTAACTGATAGCACACTAGGGTTTTGAGCAAAGTTTCCTCAAATGAAAAACGTCAAGAGTGTTGAACAAGCCTTCTGCAGTATATACCAGATGAGAATTACAGTAGACTTACCGAGGTTGTATTTGGCCTCAGGAATGACTCTCGATGATGACTCTCGAAGAATTGAAAAAGGCGAAAGAAGATTCACTCACTTATTGAAAATAAGTACTAAGGCAACAATAATTTTAATCAATATAATAAATTATTACAACCAATTTCTTGGTTCTTGGAAACAACTCTTTTTCATAACATGCTTACACTTGGTTGCTTCTTAAAATATAAATTTGGATAATAATCGTTAAGATAAACTTAAATATTTACCACTGTTTACCTAGGATTACTACTCATCCTAAAATATCGAATTTAGGCACGTTCGTACAATTTATTTTGTTACTTTACTATACTCAATTACGTCTTCAAGTGCATTGTCCTATAAATTCAGCAAGGTCCTAAGCCTTTTATTG